TTCTGATTCCCCTTCACTCCTTGCCCCAGGTGCCCTGGGCAGCTGCCTTTGTGTCCCTCAGCTACCCCTCCACCGTCTCCTGGTTGACGTGTTTGGACACAGACTGCAGGGGAGAGGGGTGGGGCACACCCTTTACTACCTGCCCTGACCCAGCCTGAGGTCCACTGCCGAGTGCTCATGTCATGCCTCATGCCCACACCCAAGCCTGAGCCCCCCACAGGCACATGCTGTCCCCCGATGGCCCCCACGCAGGACACAGCACAGACCTCATGGCCCTGCACAGCCCTCTTCTCTGTGGCCCTTTGAGCTGCTGGAGCCAACTTGGAGAAGGTCAGGTGTCCCTTTCTTGAAGTTCTTGCTGCCCTGGCCCTTTTGGGCAGCACTCCTAAGTCCACTAGCAGCCAGGGCAAGGTCATCTCTGACCCCACCTCAGGACCAGGGTCTATTCAGCCTTTCCCACCCCTGCTGGGGCTCAGCGGTGGGGTCTCCGGAAGCTGCATGGCCTGGGGGGTCCTGGGGTGATAAGACCCTCAGCTCCTCAGGGGGCTCTCACAAGACCCCCAGCCTAGTCAGGCTGGGCAGCTTCTCCACTGGCCAGGAGGGTGGGGAGAGTCTCCTGGAGACCCCCACGGGGGGCGGCGTTGGGCCTTGGGGTTCCTTCTTGTTTCCTGCCCCTCAGTAGAGGACACCTGGACCAGGTGTCAGAGGCAGGCCTCAGCTGGAACCCTGGGAAGGATGAACCTCTGTGGCCCACCTAGGATGCGGCCCCCGCTGCACCTTGTCCAGCTGGCCCAGGATCCAGGGAAACGCAGGAACAGAGGTTAGGAGGGTGTGTGGTGTTCACGGGGACGTAGTCATGTGTGTGCCTGTGCTCCCCAGACAGCCCAGGGCTCCCCTGGAACGGGCAGCCAGGTCAGCAGTCTGCACAGTGCAGCCATAGGCCTTCCAGGGCAGGTCTTGGAGGCCGTGCACCCTGCGGCCTTGGAAGGAGTGTTCCCATGGTCCGTGAGTGTCTGGATACAGTGGGGTGGGTGTGGGAGAGGAGAAGGAAATATCGGGAAGCTGAGATTATCTCTCCCGGGGAGTCTCAGGCCCAGCCTTGAAGCGCAGCCCTGGTGCCAGGGCAGGGGCCAGTGCCAACTGGGTCACCCCCTCCACAGGACCCTGGGCACCACTGCCCATCGAGACCTTCCCACGGGCAGCCCATTCCCTTCCCCACCTGGGTCCTCGCACCAAATCCAGGTCCTCTCTGCACAGCGGGTGCAGGGCCATCAGAGTTAGCAAGTAAAAATCCAAATGGCTGTGGCATTTGAATTTCAGACGCAGGATGATGATCTTTAGTGTCAGTTTGCCCCCTGGTATTTCACTGTGCCGAGAAGTGACCCACGTCAGTTTGAGGTGTGTGTCTGACTATGTCCTGGGCTCTGCTGGCAGAGGCCACACGAGGCCGGCAGTCTCTCTGGGCAAGCTTTATTTTTATTTCTACTTTGTTTTATTGAGATGGGGTCTGCAGGCTGTGGGGCGAACGGTCTCCAGTGTCTAGTCTCAGGGGCTTCCCAAATGCAGGCTGTGGTCTGCCCCTGTGAGACACAGTGCCCCAACAGCCACCTGGCACCCATGATGGCCACTCTGGACCCAGGCTGTTCCTCCCCGGAACCCCCCAGATTTCCAGGGACTCTTGGGGCCACCCAGCTTGAGGACAGTCTTCCTGGGGACCAGTGACTTCCTTCCTTTAGGCACACGTCTGGGAAGGTGTTGCCAGGCCCAGGGTGATGCAGGTTTAGTTCATAAGACTGAGGGGTTGTGCCACTTCCTCCCAGAGGTGGAGAAACTAGGGCCAGGGGCAGCAGCCTGCCCAGCCCAGGTGTGAGCTGCTTCTGTGTGGAGTGGCCACCCCATCCACCAGGGCTGCCCCTGGGGGTGGCAAAGGTGGAGGGTCTTAATTCAGGTAAACTGCCGTGACTCCCAGGGTGCTGGACCCCGGGAGGGGTGCGGGGCAGTCTGGGGCGCAAGGGCCTCACCCACACTCTGCAGTGAAACCCAGGGGTGTTGGTGCAGGGCCTGGGTCTCCCTCTCTGGGAGTACAGCAGGGGAAGTCCACCACAGGTCAACAGGGGTACCTTGGGAGGGCTGCAGCCTGGCCTGCTTGAAGACAGCTGCACCCTGCACCCACCCCCACCCGCTCCAGAGGAAGCACGAAGGAGGCACCAGGCTGGCCCCAAGGCCACCCTTATCGCTCAGCAGCTCTGCGCCCGGCACGTCCTTCCAGGGCCACAAGGGCACTCTCTGTCCTCTAGGCAGAGGGAGGCTGGCCCAGATTGTTTGGAGATGTGGGGGCTGCCTCTAGGGAACATGGAGCCCGGGACTTGGCAACATGGCCCTGTCCCTTGGGGACCTCTGAGCCCAGCCGATGCCTTGGGGACCAGCACTCGCCACCTGGCTGTGCTTGCCCAAACTCTGGGGTCTCCCTGGGGTGGGCCGTCAGTCTGGAGGCTCAGACTGGTAGGAAGGACACCTGTGGAGGCCTTACCACTTCCGGTGGGGTGGGGTCCACACCTGGACGGCCCACCTGCATTTAGGCCCTGTCACCCTGCTCCTGCCAGGCTTTGCCTGGGAGTTCACTGGACACCCGGGAGCTGGGCTGTACGGCCCTCAGGCCTCAGGGTCCTAACACCCCTGCTCACAGGTTTAGGTTTCATTCAGAGCACTGGGGAGCCACAGAGGAGCGCAGAGAGGGGTGGCTGTGGCCAGCTCTCAGGGAGGCCCAGGCCAACCTGCTGGTGGCCCTGCTGACCTCAGCTCTCGGGATCTGGGAGCCCCTAAGCCCTCTTCTTCACCTCACTGAATCCACACGGCAGTGCTCAAGAGGGGCTGAGACCCCAGGGTCACAGGACTCTGCAGGGATCGTGGCCACTTAGCCTCCTGGTCCCTCAGTTACCACCTTCCACTGACCAGTCACCACAGGGCAGCCAGAGGGAGCTGGTTCCTGAAGCGACTCCCCAAGGCGCCCCCTGCCCCACAACCTGCAGTGGCTCCCTGTGGCCTTGGGAGAAACAGACCGTGGGTCTCTTCCTCAGGCTCCAACTGGGGCCAGGCCAGGCTGGCAGGAGCACCAGCCCCGCTTCCCCTCCAGAGGGACAGCACCCTCGCACTCGACCCGGGGACTTTCTCTTTAGACCTCTCTGCTCTTAACACTTTGGAAATAGCAGGTGTCAGTTTCAAAGTGAAGAATTGGATGAGAGGTGTTCTAGAACAGTCCAGGCCCTGTTCAGCTGTTGCCCTCTCTGTCTCTGTCTGTCTCTCTGACTACTCTCTGTGTCTGTCTCTGAGTCTCTATGTCTCTCTCTGTGTCTCTCTCTGTCTTTGTCTCTGTCTCTCTGTGTCTCTGTCTCTGTCTCTACTTCTCTGCCTCTGGCTTTCCTCTTCTCACCTGCCCTGGCTGAAGAGCCCCAGGTCGGGGAGGACGGGGCAGCCTGGAGGTGGTTTTCCCGGGGGAGGTCCAGTGCAGGATGGACCCTCAGGAGGACGGGCCTCCTTTGAGGCATTGGGGGCTCTCTCGGTAGGTGCAGGGTGTGGGGAAAGTGGGGCCCCTGCCCCTGATCCTGAGCCTCGGAAGGGGCTGTGAGCTTGTGGAGCTCCGCCCACCAGGGCCGGGCTTCCCCTCCTGTACGGCACCCATGCACCCCAGGGCCTACTGGCCGAAAGTCCAGCCTGCATGTGCACCAGGTGGGGAAGTGGTATCTGCTGAGGGGTCAGCAGTCATGCCTGGTCCAGGGGCTCCTCCCACCCCGCCTCAGGACCAGCCCAGGCTCTCACTGCCCTCCCTGCCTGTCCTGTGGGCCTCCCGCCTGGCTCTAACCTGGTGTGCAACCCACATGCACACCAGGTCCCTCCTGTGGGCAGTGCACCCTCCCTGCCCATGAATTCCTGCCAGAGGTGAGGGTGAGCGACCAGGCTGACCCAGACACACAGACTCAGTTGGGCTTGAGGTGAGAGCATGGACGCCTGTGGACTGACCAAGCACCTAATTCCTCACCTGCAGGAGCTGAGCTCCTCGGCCTGGGCAGGGGTGCTGTGTGTCTACGTGTACCTCTTTGTCTGTGTCACACACACTCTACAGGTCAGGCGGAGAGGGTCTGGGATCAGAGGCCCGCACAGGCAGGCCCAGGAACCCACTGAGGAGCCTGGGCCTTGTTCCCCAGCTGCCTCTCCCTGCCCAGGTCCAGGGAAGATGACACTGGACGGCTCACACGCCCCCAAGGGCAGGGACTTTCTGGGGTTCTCCTTGTGCAGAGGGGAGCTTGCCCTGCCTGAGGGCCCTTTGTCTGGGGAGCAGCCCTGTCTGTGAGGGTCCTGCTGGGAGGCCTGGGGTCTTTTGTCCACTGTCTCTGTGTGCCTTCCCCGTTCTGGCCCTGTGTTCTTGCCCCCAACGCTGCAGAGCCCTGTCTTGCCACCCCCAGGAGCTCTGGGAGGAGAGCCTGTGGCCTCAGGAGGGCTCTTTGTGCCTCACACTTGGGCAGAGGTCTGTGCCTCACTTGACCCTGGGAACAGAGGCCACCAGAGGCCCAGATGGGGTGGCCTTCCCAGGGGCAGAGGTCTGGGGCTCAGTGCCCGGAAGAGTGAAGGCAGCCATGGCATGCTGGTTGGGTCTGAGGTCCTCACAGCCCAGTGTCCAGCAGAGCCGGCTGAGGTGCTGCTGTCCCTGAGCTGGGCAGCCCTCGAGGGGGAGATACCCCCCTTCCTGGATGAGCGATTCTCCCCCGTGTGCATGTTCTGGGCCCCTGACGCAAGCAGAAGCAACATCGTGAGATAAGTGTTGAGGGGCAGCCTGCCAGGGCTGGCCCCATCCCAGATCCTGAGCCAGCAGCCCCAGCTCCGGGCCCAGCAGCCCACCCGCCCACCCGCCTGCTCAGAGCAGGTCTTTGTGCCCCAGCCTTGCAGGTGCGGGGGTGGGACGGGGTCCTTGGCACAGAGCAGCTCTCTGACCACATGGGACAGCTGCTGGCCAAGGTCTCTGCTGCGCATAAATGGGGCTCTGGGACTGTGCAGCAGCAGGGCGCCACCGCACAGCAGAGGAGTCCTCCGCCCTTCTCCCTGGCCACCAAGGATCCAGCAACCGGGAGTCTGGACCAGGTAAGGCTCGGGCTGCCTCTGAGGACACAGTCGGCCGACGGGGCACTCCTCACAGCACAGGGTGGCAGGCCTTGGTCAGCAGCTCCTCGCTGCTGGCTTCGCAGGACCCCTCCTGGTGGATGGCCCTCCCGGGTGAAGAGCCACCTTGGCTGAAGCCGGAAGCTCTCGCCGTTCCTTTTTCCTATGCATATACTTCTTTGAGGATCTGGCCTAAAGAGGTATAGGGCATGGGAAAATGGGGCGGTGAGTCCTCACCAGCTGGCACCGGACACCTGCATCCTGCCAGCCCCGACCTCCTTTCTACTGGATCCAGCCGGCTTTGCTGCCCTCCTCCTGGGGAGAGGCGGGCAGGCCTGCCAGGGCAAGGGCAGCAAGGGTGGGCTTTCCTGTGTGCCCTGCACCCTGCTGGCCTGGGTTCCGGGCTGCCTGGGCACCCAGGACTCATTCTCTGGTAACTTCTCTACAGGTGGAAAAGCACAAGGAGTGACCTTTCTTTGCACACAGGTGGATGACTGTGGGTCTGACACTGGAGGAGACCAAGTGCCAGCCAGGGGTGTGTCCTGGTGCTGGGTGCAGATTTTGCTGCTTTCCGACACCCTTATGATATTTGGAAAGAATGGGCATGCCTTGACTTTTCTCATCAGACGTCAGTAAGACGGGGGCTGGGGGTGTGGCTTGGCAGGGGAGCTCTGCTCCGCATGAGTGAGGCCCTGGGTTCCATCCCCAGCATCCAAACACAAAGCAAGCGAGCGGAAACGTCAGTAAAGCGGATTTCACTGGAACTCATCAGTGTGGCCAACTGACAAAAAATAAAGGTCCAGAGCGAGAGTTGTGTTGTGCTGTTTTCCTCCATCCTCGCCAGTTCTCGCCCAGGCTCTGTCCCCAGGGACCCTGACTAAGAACAAAATGGTTCTCAGGGGACTGGCAGGGCTTTGAGGCCAGATGTGGGCCTGGCGCCCCGTCTCTGAAGCCCAGAGCCTGGGGATGCTGTGGTGGCTGGGAGAGCCCAGGGCAGAGTCTCCTGAGCCCGTGGCCTTAACTCCCCTGGATCCAGGGTGAACAGTGACGTCCACTGCTGCTCTGAAGGGATCTCTCCCTCCAGCTTGGCCCAGTCTGGGCTCCTGTCTTGGACGGCTGCTGGGTCTTCATAAGCCCAACAAAAGGCAATTAGCCTGGGGGTGGAGCCCTCTATCAGCGGTAGCCTGCCCTGGGCTGGGCCGCACCTGGTCCTTAATCTCACCTGACGTCATAGCTGGTCCCTCCCTCCTCCCTCCTCGGGTGCAGGTGGTGTGGGGAGGGAAAGATCAGCCCATAGGCAGACGGGGTTTCTGGGTAGAAGGTGCTGGGCCAGGCTGGCGGCCCCCAAGAGGCCCTCCCTGCACAAGTGGTCACCAGTCATCCAGAAGGGGCTCTGCTGATGAGCCTCAGTCCCCCTCAGCCCTACGGTTGTCTCCACAGGACCCTTGCAAGGGAATTGTCCCCAGGGGCCCAGTGGATGCTTGAGGAGTGGGGAAGCAGCACCCCCATGGTGGGGAACAGGGTAGGGGAGCCTGGAGCTGCAGCTTCCTGTGGAGGGGGCAGGGACTGCAGCTGGGGGAGGGCCCCAGGAGCCTGGCTTCCCCAGCCCAGTTCCACTCTGTGTCAAGGCTGGAGATGCCCCTCGCCATCAGGGTACCTCGCCTCCCTGCCAGAGCTCAGGCTTAGGCACCCCAGGGCTCAGGATGGCCTTGGCCACGGAAGAAGGTGGTCCAAGCAGTCCTTCCCAGCACCTTCCTAGGATACTTTGAGGAGAAAATTTGGAAGGGACAATACCACCCAGAATCTCACCACCCCAATCCAGCAGTGAACACCCTGCAGGTCTGCTTTATCCCACTCCGTTTTGAATGCTCTGAAGTCAGCTGGGACCACGCAGGCTCTGAGACAGCTGTGTTCCCGACCTGGGGGTGGGTGGGCGCCCACCCAGTCCTGGAGAGAGCCACTCTGTCCTCCGGCCTCACTGGCCCCTGCCGCCCTTCCTGCTCTGCCCTGCTCTGCCGCCCTCAGCCCTTCAGGCATTGACTGCCATCTGCAGGCCCTGCACCCAGGTCCCTTGTTTCTGTTCCCCAGACACTGGCCTGTGGGGTGGCAGGCGAGGTCCCGATGCCAGGACAAGGGGATGAGGACATGAGTTGGCTGGGCGGAGCCAGGAAGGAGAGTGTCGCTAGGGGGCAGAATTGCCACGTGTGCAGTGGAGGGGAGAAATAAAGAATGTCCATACACTTCTGCCCCTTTCAATGGTTTATTCACTCAAGTTACTCCACACAATTTCACTCCATAGGTTCTTAATCAAGAAAACGACAATCCTTAATGCTAGGCACTGCAATAGACATGATCAGTTCACAGCAAACAATTCTAGATTAATTCTCAGCACTGCAAAACACACTTAATCATGACAGGCTAACAACAGACATTTCCTCTGCATGCTAAGTTCAATAGTCTTAAGCCTTAGGCTTTAAGTCCAGCAGATGCACACTCACTTAGACTGTGGTGGCCAGGTCTGGAACCAAGGCAGGCCTTTCCTGGTGTGGAGTGGATGACCGGTTGAGGAGAAGGTCATAGGGAGAAGTTGCGGCTCTCACCAAGGTCCAGAGGAGGAGGTAGAGTTTGAGAGTGGTGAGGATCACGCAGAGGCTCAGGAACGATGACAAGTGATGGGATGTCAGGCCCTCATGGGGCTCTCCAGCTCGAGTGCACCCTTGTTTAGGCTGGCTGAATCCCTGTTCATTTGCTCTATTATTTATACTAAATTTGGGGGCTTTTGACTCTGCTGCAATCTTTATCAGCTACCACTGGATTTCTCAGTGACATCATTTACCCTGGGGTCAGAGACATCTTGTCTGGTGGTCTCCACCCTGATCTTCTCCTCCTTTTGCCCTTTCCCTCTTAGCAGGCGAGGCCAGCCTGCCAGGGGCTTCACTCTGCTTATCAGGGCGAGGGGAAGTAACTTGTCTGAGGTCGTGCTGGAGGGCTGTGTGGGTGTGCCTGGTGAGACTGCAGTTTTCCAGCTGGAATTTTTAAAATGGAGTTGCTTAGGCTCAGGCCTAAGGCCATCCTCACAGTTCAACCCCTTGATTCACAGTGTCCGTGCTTGGGGATGCCCGAGCTGGGCACTGCACATCAATACAGAGGCATCACCCATTCTGCCGGCCAAAGACAGGACTCCACATATGTTCAAAAGTCACTTCTCATGGTGGTTTGCTGTATTGTTCCATAACCACCAATTACACCTGGTTGAGACCAAAGTGGTCGCCATGTACCCAGAGATTTAATTATAATATAATTAAAATCAGATGGTATGATAGGATTGAGACATTTATAAGTTTGTCTTGTATGTAAGTCCCAATGGACTGATTCTGTTTCATTGTCCCGGTTGATTCTAATAGTCACTATAAGATTGTCAAATGCTCTAAATCTAAATATTGACTAAAATTCAAGAAGGAAGGTGGTTCCTCTGGTCGTACATACATAGGCATTGCGATCCCAACTTCCATCTCTCTGTATTCATAATAATACAAACTTCCATCTTGGAAAACAGAGCCTGGCTTTTCCTGAATCCACCCTGGTTCTATCCATTCCTTTAGATCAAAATCCTTATGGAGCTCTCTGAGACCTGGGTCAATGTACTGCCCTAAGTTTGCACATGAACATATTGTACAGAAGGGAAGAATCCTTAAAGGATTGGATTCTAATGTTATTTTTTCTGGTTTGTTCTCATATTATGTCCTTTTAAAACTTGTCTGTAAGATGTGGAGATCGACCTGGTGTGGTGATATGGGCTTTGATCCTGCTATTAAGATCAGTATTGCAGCCTGTATAGGTATTATGCCCTGTATTATTTCTTCTGGATAATATGCTTTGTTCATAAAAAGTACATATCTGAAAGAGTTGCAATTTGGGATCTTGTATCTAATGAGAAGGGACGAGTCTTGTTATTAGTTGGATCAGGGAGCAGCAGGACAGCTCAATTGTGGGTAAGATTATAAAAGGAACAGAGCTCAAGCTTCAGCTTTTGTGGAGCAATGTCAGCACTGGCAAATCTATTATGTTCTAGGATCACTATATGATCTGTATTTACTATATTCTGGCAAGATTCTATATTAAAGTGGGAGTCGTGAAAATTAAAAATGAATAGATGGGTTATTTGACTTTTAAAAGCATCCCAAATAGGTGGTAGTTTATATGGATATATCCACCCCTCAGTATAAGCTTTGTGTGAAATCCAAGCATTGCTCTGAAGCACACACCACAAAACTACAGTGTTGTATATGAGATACAATGACATGACCTTTCTTTTCATTTTTCATTAAAACATCTGTCAAATCCTGATAAATGGTCCCGCTTTTCTTAAATCCTAAATATCTTAATTTTCTAGTGACTCTGTTATGAATTATCTGCCACAGCAACTCAATTGAGGTGTGTCTATATAGTACTTCCAATCTGTAGCACACAGCAAAGTCTTAAACCAAAATTTAAGATTCTTACAACAATTTTGCAAGAATCATAAGGTTTGTCACAATCGATTTAAGTCAAAATGTTAACATCAAGCAGAAGGTGGAAACGATTTTCAATCCATGTCATAAACTGATATTCTGAGCTCCACAGTCTGTTTCTCAGGAAGTCCAGGTAGGTGTTAACACAGATAAGTGAGATACTGGTGGTATCCAAGTGAGCTGTAAAGTGCAGATAATAATCATATATGTTACGTCCACTTCTCCATAATCAGAGGTGATTGTAGAGTGGTCACACAGCCATCTAATATTACCTACATGTGTTTTAAGTTCTTCTTGTCTGGTTTCAATTTATTTATTCCATTTAGCATGCATCTTGAAATTTTTAAGACTATCATGAATATGAGTATCAGTAGTGTATAATGGACAATTTCTTTTCTGTCCTGGAACCAATTTGGGATGTGCCAGCATTTGGTGTCAAACTGGAGGAGCCTATAGAATGAATCTTCCCAAGAACATCGTCTATTGACTACATTATGCTAAAGAATCTGTTTCCATCACATGTATTGTCTGTGAGACAATGTGATTTGTGTTGTTAAGGTGTGCTATATCCAGTGTTACTTGGGCATCCTGTTTTTGTAGCTGTTCCATATTATGTTCAATCTGGTTTGGAAGTTGCTTCATATGTTCCAATTGTATGTCTGCTTTATCCTCATCTTCATCAAACACCACATTAGTCTGTAATGTGTGTTTCATCTGTATCTGTTGGTTTGAGAATGCTGTTGTAGTTTTACCTGATTTAGTGTGTAATGTCAACTTCCATGTGTTGGATACCATATGGCATCCTGCTTCCTGGGTTGTTTTACATTCATCAAAACATATATTGGTGTCAGGATGTTCAGAGTGATAATAGTAGTAATCCTCACTATGGGGGGTGCTGTCAGATGGTCTTGTGTAGTTGGCACTGTTGGTGTGGTAGGGCATATGTGTTTACATGGATAAGTTGCACTAAAGGTGTTAGGTGAACAGACTGCAAAACGATTCTTTTCTTATGGTATCACTTCTTCCTGTGGGTCATTATAGTGACCTTAGATGTATGTAACTCTCGATGGTTTATATGTCCTAAGTATAGGTAAGTCAGTGTGCCAGTTGGTATCACTGACTCTTCTGGTAAGATTGTTTCATTTAGGAGAATGCCTGATCTTACTGCTTTTATGAAAGTGTTTCCTATTTTCTTGTATAGTGTGCGTCCATGGTATGCTGTGTATGTGTCTGTGAACAGAATTTTTAGTAAAGATAATTGACAAAGTATTTCAGTGCAGTATGTGTCTCTACTGGGAT